GTAAAAAACAGAGTAAATGCGGTCTAGCATGACTAGCCTTAATTCGGCAAGGTAGTGATTTCTATACTTCCATATATATATTTCTATATTGGATCGCTTTGCAGGTTGTTCTGCTTCAAATTACGGTAAACAATAAACAACGTGATCTGTAGAAATCGTAATAATTTGTACATGATTTGTCATCAGTATTATTTAAAAGAAGAAAATTCCTACTACCAGAAGAATAATATCAGATCAAAATTCTCCGAATTGGAAAAGTTTACCAGTATAACTACTGTCTGCTCTCCTCCTCTATAGGAGAAAATGTAGGCCGTACGTAAGCCTAAATGACATCGAAATTAGAACATACTGAATGCCCACTACTAGGTTACCCACCCAGCTAGCGAACTAAACACAGTTTTAAAACATGATCGATTTAATAATAAGGTAGGATATAACAAAACAATAAAGTTCTAACATTGTTTATTTAGTAAATTGCAACATTGCTTACGTGTTGAAAGCTGGTAAACTATATTTCAATATTGTTTACGCATTGATTATCAGGCTGACAATCCAGCCTACGATCATTGCAAAGCTAATTAAAATAACAATGACCTTCGTAGTGGTTTGTAGCTACGTTCCAAACTGTACCTATGAGCAGGCTACGAGTGGTTACGCGCAGATACGAAGCGATATTTCCTGCCTGTACTGTACACAAAATGGGTATTGCTAAACCCCGCAAACCTCCAAACACACAGTGCAAACCCCATCCAAACCTTGTGATAATGATTGAATCACATAGTATAAGACTCAACTTGGTATCTCAATAAAAAAAATTATAATGTTCTATTCATAACAACCTACTTTTTGGGTAAAAATGCCATTTTTTGTATAAAAAAATTGCTAAACCCTGCAAACCTCCAAAAACACAGTGCAAACCCCACCCAAACTCTGTGATAATGATTGAATCACATAAGTATTATAGGACTCAATTTGGTAATCTCAATAAAAAAAAATCTTAAATTTATGTTCGTCACAACCTATTTTTGGGGTAAAAAGGCCATTTTTTGTATACAAAAATTGCTAAACCCCACAAACCTCCAAAAACACAGTGCAAACCCCATCCAAACCCTGTGATAGTGATTGAATCACATAGTATAGGACTCAACTTGGTACCTCAATAAAAAAAATCTTAATTTTATGTTCGAATATGTTACGAATGGAACATTATAATTTATTTTTACTGAGATACCAAGTGAGTCCTATACTACATGATTCAATCACTGTCACAGGGTTTGGATGGGGTTTGCACTGTGTTTTGGGGGGTTTGCGGGGTTTAGCAATGTTTTTATACAAAAAATGGCATTTTTACCCAAAAAGTAGGTTGTTACGAATTCAGCATTATCATTTTTTTTACTGAGATACCAAGTGAGTCCTATACTACATGATTCAATCACTATCACAGGGTTTGGATGGGGTTTGCACTGTGTTTTGGGGGGTTTGCAGGGTTTAGCAATTTTTTTATACAAAAAATGGCATTTTTACGCCAAAAACAGGTTGTGACAAACATAAAATTCAGATTTTTTTTTATTGAGATACCAAGTTGAGTCCTATACTATGTGATTCAATTATTATCACAGAGTTTGGATGGGGTTTGCGGTGTTTTTTTGGAGGTTTGCGGGGTATGTGGGGTTTAGCAATACCCCACAAAATTACATACAATACAAATTTTGGATTTAAGCTTTGATCAATCTTAAATTAAAATTTATGTCCATCTTATGTCCAGGTGTATACACTACATGCATGTTTTAAACGTATTAGCTATAACAACAAGTACTATATGGACAAAAATTTGTTAAATTTACTACTGACAGTGATTTGTCTAAAAAGTATCAGCCAGACAATTTTATCATATTCTTCAAATAAAATAAAAAATTTTCCATTTAATTAGAAATCTAAATTTGCATGATTACATATTGAGAGTATAGTAGATTTTGCTGTTGTAATAGATTAGACAAAATTGTAAAAAAAAAAAACACGGGTTTAGGAACGTACCTTAGGATGGATTATACTATCACAACAGTCTTCAACATCAGTTTCAAAGACATGAGCTTTGCTGAGCTTTTTGTCCCAGTGTGCTGCTAACCAGATGCGAGCCAAAGGCCCCTTCTTACTCAACACGAAATGTGCGTAAAACATCTTTGAAAGTTAGATGCTCCTGTAAAAAAATTTAAATAAAATTCTATTATTTGTTGTTTATTCTAGGTTTTCCTAATGTCTAAAATCTCACAGTTTTAACATGATTTGTAAATTGCAACATTGCTCACGTGTTGAAAGCTGGTAAACTATATTTCAATATTGTTTTGGCCTGTGGAATTTTTTGCACGACGAATATGCAAATAGTTGGCGTTGGAGAAGCGTTGGTCTGACTACTAGCTTAAATTTGCGCCGTTCATCAAAGTTCTCAGCGAGGGGCCTATAAGCAATATATGCTTGGCCTTTATTCCCAGGTGAAGAATGTTTCCTGGGACACAAGTAACAAGTACACGATAACCAACAGTGAAAAAATTTCAGAATATATATTTCAATCTATCAATTGTTTTGATTAAAAAAACATTTTGACTAAAGCTTTTACAGTAATTTGACATAGGCCTATCACTTTAGTTGATGAAATTCCCAACTAAAACAACTTTCTATAAGTATAAGGCCAAAGGTGTTGTTGGCCACGTTTTGGGAAAATAAAAAAAAAGTATTTAATTCCTTCAGTATATCAAACATCGACAAATACAAATGGACCGAATGATTTTGCCTGCAGTCTGAAGATCAGATCCACAAGACAATCAGGCCATTTCCAGATTGAACCCGGTGGTGATGGTCTTGAAGAAAATGGCCCTGATCGTCTGTAAATTCAAACAAGTTTTGAATTAATTAATACACTACCTACTACACCACTAGGTAGGCCTAGCCTTATTTAAATAATATTAACTATGAATATAATACCTAGGTAGCCCTGGTAGTGCCTAGACCGACGATGTCAACACTGGCTGTGTTGTGTGAGATGGCTGCTAGGCCTAGCCTAGATAACTAGAAAGAAGAAGGCTAGCATGTGCATCCATGTCATATCATAATTTTCTTAAAATTTACAAATAGGCCCTAGCCTAGGCCTATGCATATTTAACACATAAAAGCAATGCGTACTTTGTGAGCTAGTAAAACAATAGTATCATGTTCAACATATAGATATAGCCTAGTAGAAGCACTTGAAAATAATTCAACATTTTGAAGTTGACCAGCGCCATCCAATTCATAGAACAGTGCCCCCATCAGCATGTACAGCCGCACCGCGTATTGTTTGAAGCGCAAGAAGACAGAAGAGGGAAGAAAACCTAGCCTACATGACACGATAACAAAATACAGATTTAAATGAATAAAATATGCGATTTTTGAATACTTTAAAAACTATAACACAAACCTTTATGTCAAGTATTTTGTCTGCAACAAACTATGCACAAAATACATGAGAAAAATAAATGCAAATTTATGGTTTTAGTACGTCCACAAAAACCAAGCCGCTTTTTGTAGGCTGACGCTAAGAAGATGGCGTCCTTTCACTTCCCGCCCATTTGGCCTCGTTCAAAAAAGCTTTTAACTCTCTTACGCTGTGTAAAAGTAGATCGTTTTTGCGAAAATTTACTTGCCTAATCAAATAAAAACTTTCTAAAATCTCTGAGACTAATTTGAAACATTAAAATATAACAATCTAATAAAAAAGACAATTTCAAACTACTGTGAGTAATTCAAGAACGTGCTCAATATTTTTCAATATCCCTCCGCTATGCGATTTCACCATAATAATTAATTTGTTATATACCGTCTTTCGATAGAAAAAACACTGTGAAAAGGAAACCAAAGAAGTTTCCAATTGAATAAGAGCCTAATTAAACTTTAAAAACGAATCAAAAGAAAACATTAAACCAAATATTAAACTGTACATGATTTTTCCCCCCAAAAGCCGATTGAAACTACACGTACGTTTGTTTGAATAAGAACCCGGATCACAGAAATGGACGTAACAGGTTCCCCAATCCTCCCAGAATTCCGGCATTGGAAAGCCTACTGTATACTGGAGCCAAGGGGTGGGGAACCTAGAGCCTTGGTCAGGGTCCGGGAATAACTTCGGTGGGGTGATGGCAGAGGCTCAAGGTCTACGTAATGAGGTGTAGGTCTGCAGTTTCAGTCACATAATCCAAGATGATACTAATATAAAAAATTATAAGTGCGTGGTTGGCTTGGTTGTTTTGTTCGGGAAAGAGAAATTTTCTCGATGATGGATTGATTCTCGAATGAAATAACGAAAACCCTCTAAAATTACCGTTTTTATATTTTTTAATAAAACCAATTTCTTCAAATTTTAAATACATTTTCTCCTCAACTTGTGATATTAAATTCTTTATCACGCATAGACTTGTGCCGAATGCGTGACAAATTATAATCACACATGTGTTTCTGCAAAATGCGTGTTTCAGCGGTATATATATATATTTAATCACTTGAAGTTTGATTAAAAATATAATTTGTCCCTTGTGTGTGACGTTTTATCTGCATACTTGACTTGACTGAACAGCAACTTATGTGACGTTTTATCTGCATGCTTGACTAGACTAAACAGCAACAGCAACGCACGTGATCCCATAGCCGGCCACACGAAATTTTGGGATCGTCGATTATTTTTTCAACAAAACAATGATCATTTGGCCATGGCCTAGACTCTAGACTGCCTAGATCCTGATCACAAAGTTGCTGATGACGGTGGAGAAGGCTGCGTAGCCATCTGTTTGCTTTGCTATGCCCGCTGTCAAGAAAGGACCATATCCGCTTTGGAATTTTAATGCTAATTATTTCTGTTGCTTTATATTTTGATTGTTCAGCCATTGATGTAAAGTGTGCCAAATTACGTTTAATATGGCAGAAAGTGTTACACCTAAGGATGACAGGGTAGAAGAAGGTAAGATAATTGATAAAATAGCCTAGGCTTAGGCCTACCTAGGCCTATTTTCTGGCCTGTCTCTCAGCCTTGGCATAGGCCTAGTGAGATTCTGCTGTGTGGTAAACAATGACTGCCGCTGCAAACGTCGTGTGATCGAATGATATTCCATTGTAGTAGGGAAGGCCTACGCTTAAATTAATGCTGAGTAAGTGTCCTATTAATAATATAATAATAACTTTATTGTTTCTCTTTTGTAACAGAGGCACAATCTAGAGATGTGCAACAATAATTCACAATATAAGATTTAAAGGAAAAAAAAACATATGTACATTTCTCTTTTGTAACAGAGGCACAATCTAGAGATGTGCAACAATAATTCACAATATAAGATTTAAAGGAAAAAAAAAACATATGTACATTTGTCTAGCAAGAGACATTTCTTACTATCCTAATACACCGTCTAAAAAATACAGTACTTTTTTTTTTTTTACAAAACTAATAACGAAAAGAAAAGTACGCATCCCAGGAAATGAACTACACACCACTGCTCTTGACACCATTCATGCCATTGCCAGGAATTCATGACAATGCGTGACCAATGCCGAAACCCGACGGCGCGCACTCCATCTCCCGAAGAATGCATTACATTTTATCTGAATTAAAATAGCTAAGTCGTTTTATCGATTTTCACTATTCTTTCGTCCATTGATTAATTAAAACATTCTCCTCTGCACATAATATATAAAATATAATGGATCAGTTTAGTACTAGTAATTTACTATTAGTAGTGGGCTAGGCCTAGTACTGTAGTATAGCCTAGGCCTAGTGGCCAACTAGGGCTAGATATTAATTAAATTTGCAAACATTCATATTTATATTGCATTGTTATTTATTCGCAATGGTACTACTGCTACAATAGGCCCTGGCAGTGGCATGCCATGCCATATGGTCGCAGGCATGGAATGTATATCTTATTCTAAAACTTGTTTATTCTAACCTGTCAAGGTATCTGAACACCACCGGGAACCTCTCTCAGGCATGTGCAAAACAAAATTATCACCGGAGAGTAGTTCTGTTACATTACTTGTTGTATGTAGTTGCTTATTAACAAGAAAAAAATTATTTTTTTAAAGCCCAAAATTACTCCAAGTTTGATCATGCATTCATTTGTCCCATGCACATGTGCCAATTGTTGTTTATTTCCCCTGATTACATAGTGCATACTAGAAGACTAAACAATTTTACATCTTTATTAGGCATAAACTAGCATTTGTTATCTTGACCCTAGGCTACGCTTGAATTGTGCTGTGATTGCGAAAAAATAGAATGGCTACGAACCGTTACGGATAGCTAAACATATGCGTACGCGTATTTGTTCGCGTGCGAAACCTCTCTATTACCTTCATTAAGCCATTTGTTCCATGAATAACATTGCCCATGTACAGTATGAGCAACTAATTTTTTTAATATACTGTAAGTCTTAATATTAATATAATAAATACTGTATTGTTAGTGGCTATCTATAATTCATAATTCTGATTGGATGTTGGTAATGAACAATTATGAAAACATAAACTACAGTACAGTACTGTATGTCTGTATTGATAAACTTTTAACAATAAAATTCAATCTGATAATAATAGTTTTGATATAATAAAGTATACTGACATATAGTAATTGTAATAAACTCGGAAATGTTAAAGGACAAGATAATCTTTATTGTCACATTTACAATACAGTAATAACTAATATGAAATTTGGGAGCACAGTGGCAGTAATTAGAGAGCACCACTTATTTATACAGGGAAGGTGCTTTAGATTATTTTATTTATTTGGAATGAGGGCATGTACAGTATATCAATACAAGGGGTACAACCAGTGGTGGACCATCAAGGCAAGCAAGGTATGCAGTGTATAACCTGGTTAAAACAAATTAAAAAAAAAATTTATTTAGCATAAGTCACAGTCGGGCCTATCGCATCGTACTCTCAGCTGTTTAGAATTTCGGCATGGCTGGTTTTCAATATTAGCCAATCATGTATTCAGTGAGTCAATGAGAGTCAGAACATACCCTATATTGCTTAAATTTGCTATTGTGACAACCGTGTGGTGGCGTCAGAATAGCCAATTGGTGCTTCCAAGAGTATGTGCGCATGCTTTTCTTCTCACAAATCAGAACCTCCACTGCCGATCGGGTATTCTACTGTATCTATAATAGGCCTAATCTCAATGATTAGAGTTTAAATAAATTTGCATACATATGGCCAGTAGAAAAGAAATTTTGAATTATTATTTTTTGAATTGAAATTTGTTAAAATACAATAATAGGAATATTTTTGAAGAGAAGATACTACAACCACGCAGATATTAAAAATAACATACATTTTATTTTGACTAGAACACAATCTGATTCTGTAATTATAGTAGTAGGCTTATGAACTTTTCATATTAGCAGACCCTAGCATCAGTGGCATAGGGGTCTTGAAATGGAAGGGAAGTGATGGGGATAGCAAGGTAAAGTGGGGATCGGTGATTAGGTGAGGAGGCTAACTCACAAAATAAGGTGATTTGAGGTGGGTGGGGAGGGGGGGATATACATCCTAGATATGGTAATACCTAGCATACCCTCCAATTTACCCTACGGTCTGCCACTGGGTTCAACTTAATATACTGTACTTGCAGAAAAGTACAGTTACAATCCAATGGAGCAACTGTATGGTAAAGAAAGATAGGATTATATTAGATCTTTAAAAAAATACTATAAAAACATTGACTGGATACTTATTGAACAAGGGTAGTGACCTGGTAAGGACCTGTCTAGACATGTCTGGCTTACTGTAGCCCAAGCATCTTCTGATTTGCACCTTTTCTTGTACTACAGAGGGTAGCAGCTATACACACTAGCTAACAAGGAATGCTTCAATTTTGGTACAGTACCGTATATAGATTTTCATGTATTATTTGTAAGAAATGATGTTTAGTATCCTAAAGATAAAAATCCTTTTCTCCTTTGATGGTCAGGGGTCATTTATTGTTTTCCTTGTTCAGCTTATATTTCATATTTCACATAATGAATGCTTATCATTAAAAACCAGAAAACTTTATTGTCCCATTATTAAGGAAATTTTTACTCACATTACTGCATTGACAAGTATATATAAAAGTAAAATTATGATATTATCTGCTAAAATTCAGTAATGGTAAAAATGGTAAAATATACAGTTAGCATAAAATGTCTATCAAACATTTGTATTTTAACAAAATTAGTCGCATATGAATAAACTGTATTGGACTATTATAGTACCTTTTGTAAAGTTGTTAAAAGAAATAACATTCCATTTAAGCAAAATCAGGTTTGCTTTTTTGTGTAAACCTACAAATTTTGATGATTCAGTTCATAGAGGAGATAAGATATATTTAAGGGAAGTTCCCCATTTTTTAATACAGTTATACTGTAGTTGCCAAATTTAAATATTTAGATTTTGTGACTTAAAACAGGAGTTGAAAGGAGATTGCCATTTTGGACAGTTTAAGTAATTGTTTAGATTGAATTGGAACAAAGATAAAATATTTCATACTTACCTGTACTACTGAAGCTGAATGCGTGTGTTGACTTGGCCGTGTTTCCGCAGCACTTATCCGATAAATTATCCGAAAGCAACCATTTTGTTAATTTTTCGCTGCAGCAACGGGGCCTAAATTTTCTGATAACTTTCCGCATGAGAATCAGATAGTTCTGAATGCGAAAATAAATAACCTTTGACTGATGTGAAATCACAGTTAAATGCAAATAATTCTTTTAGGTATTTTCTAAGGCAAGTAGGTAGTAGACCAACTGTAGCGGCCTCCTAGGTCTAGTTTTAAAACTTCATAATAAAAAGTGAGTAAATTTTTTGTGTTAAGTATAAAAAAAAGCCTAAACGGCTGGGCCTACAGTAGGTCTATCCCTACCTATCATTTATTGTACCGTAGAAAACATTAAACAAAGCTAGCATTCTTTTTCATCTTCTTCTCAATCCCTATAAGTACAATGAAACATGCGACAGTAGGCCTACATTTCCCAGATTGAAATTGTACCAAATGATTTGGTTCTTAGCCTAGGCCTATCCATCTCGTGCAAAAAATGGTCACCTGCTAAGTCAACAAAATTGATGTTTTGGTGTTGAACACATATTGCATTGTTGTCCATAATTTTAAAGAATGAATGAATGAATAAATTTTGCATTATGGAATAAAATATTTGGAAGGAATTTTAAGATAATTTATCGGAGAAATTATCAGAGAAATTATAAGTACTATACAGAAATGATTCCAGCACATTTCAATAATTAACATTTCCCACCCCTTGGATACGTTTGCTAAAGTCCTGTCACGCCAAAATTGGTCCGGGCCAAAAAAAGGTCCGGCGGACAGATTTTGGCTGCCGAAATCACTGCACTGGACTACTTTTTAGCCGCTAAATCGGTCCCCCTTGGACAAAATTGGCCTAGTGGCTTGGCCGCTTGTAACACGTCTGCTGCCCATACATGTAGGATATGATTGTTTCTCCCGTGGAGTGGAGGGAAGTGACTTATGCTTCTCCCACACTTGAAAAATCTTCTGCATTGGCAGAATGATTCGTATTAAGTTTTTGTGGACGTGTTTTATCAAACACATAATAAAATGCATTTCCTAGGCCTAGGCGATATGACGCACAGCATGCCTAATTTTCTGCGGCCGTGCTTGGCCTAGGTTTGGAACTAAAATGAAACACAACTGATTTATTAGTTTTAAATATTTCATATTATTGTGTGGGGTATTAGGTCATACAATAGTTGTTCTATTACATGAAAATAAAGAGGGTCAATAATTTCTTTGAAATGATTGTTCATGTATTTCGTTGCGGCTTTAAGCAACCACACAACCAAAACTAAACAAGATAAAAAATAAACTAAAGCGGACCAACACGATTTACGATCATATCGTTTAACTTGGTTTTCTAACTTTTACACCAGAGAGTTTACTGGGTGCGAAGAGCG